CCTCTGCTCTGCAGTGCCAGTGACTTACCGTTGCTGTCCCCTTCCCATTGCCGCACCCCTCAACTCGCAGATAACTGTGACCTTTGTCTCCTACTTGCCCTTCCTGCCTCTCTTACTTGAACTGCTTGCTCAGCCCTTTTGCTCAGCGCACAGCCTCAGAGGCTCCGCTTCTCAGTGACCACCCTGTGCGGTGGCCAAGCGCACACCCAGCTCTTGGTGACCTTGTGCTCTTCTCCACAGTGTCCCCCACATTCAGTTTATTCCAATCCTGCTTGAAAGCGCTGACACCAGCTTGCTGAAAAAGCCCTCCGTTATCATCTCAGCTTGAAATCGTCACGTTTGTATTTTTAATTTTTTGAGGAGTGTCCACTGTGGCTGCGCCAATTTCCATTCCCATCAACGGTGTATTAGGTTCCCCTCTCTCCAGCACTTGTGGTTTCTTATATTTTGGAAAAATAGCCATTCTCACAAGTGTGAGGTGCTAACATTTCATTTTCATTCCTCTAATAAGAGACGGTGAACGTTTTCATCAGCCTGCTGGCCGTCTGAACCTCTCTCAGACAAGTGTCTTCAGATCCTTTGCCCATTTTTGATCTAATGTTTATTATTAAGTTTTATGAATTCTTTTCTTATTTTCAATTAGCTCCTTGTTAGCTATAAGATGTGCAGTAGGAGGTCTTTTCATTTTGATGCAAGTTTCTTTGGCTGTGCAGAAGCTTTTAAGTTTGATGTGATCTCATTTTTATTTACGTGTCCCTTGCTGTTGGAGTAGTCACCGAGCTCATATTCCTACTCTCCACACGCACTACTCACACAGCACAGCCCTCTTGCTGTTGCTCAGAAGCCCGGTGATGGGCTGAATTGTGTCTCTCAAAAAGATGTGTTGAAATCTTAACTTCAGTGTAGGGTAAGGTAAAAGGTATCAGGCTTTTCTGCCCTCTCGCCATTAGGATAGATGACGGAACCCTGCGGTCCTGAATGCATGCCTGATGCGGGGCACCTGGAGTAGGGTATGCGCATATGTAGAGGGGATTCCCCTGGGCTGAGAGACTGGCTTTTAAGGGCAGCGTCACTGGGACGGGGAGCAGGGGAGAGACTGCACTGTGGCCCTTCCTGCCCACTACACTCAGTATCTATAAATATGACCTTATATTTGGAAATTGGGTCTTTGCAGATGTAATTGAGATAAGACGAGGTCAACGGGGGGGGGGGAACCCTCAATCCAATAAGACTGGTGTCCTTATGCGAGGGGAACAGGGGCACGTGGAGAAAGACACCCAGGGAGAATGCCAGGTGACAGAGATGGAAGTGGTGCAGCTGCAAGCCAAGGACTGCAGGGATTGCTGGCCATTCGCAGAAGCTAGGAAGACGGAGGGATTCTCCCCCGCAGATACCAGAGGGGGTGAGACCCTATTTCCTCCTTGATTTGGGCCTTCTAGCCTCCGAACTGGAAGGCTATAAATTTCTGTTGTTTTTGGTCACTTACTTGGTGCTATCTTGTTTCAGCAGCCCTAGGAAAGGAACGCAAGCCTGAGGCACTTACCTCCCTCCTCCCAGCCCCCGTGCAGATGCCTCCTGTATCTGGGCCCCATCTGACTGCCCCCCAGAAGCTAGCACCTCCTGCCCCCGCATTCCTTGGCCTCTTATTTTCCTTCGGTTCTAACCATACCTGATATTACATCGCATATCTTTTGTTTGTTGTCTGCCTTGCCTTCCGGGATGTAAGTTCCATGAAAGCAGAGACCATACAATCCATTATTGTGTGCACAGTGCCTCCTGTGTACTTGACTCTCCATACGTGTTTCATGCATGAACGAGCTACTTGAGCGTAGAGTTTGCGTTTAACATTTGCATCCTTGACATTGCCTGACACAATGCTTTGCTCATCGTAGGTACCCAGTAATAAACACACACAAAAGAATGAACTTTTGTCCATGTACAAAAGTAACATGTACAATAGTCCATCACCATTAGCTGACTTGATTAAGAGGGGAAGTCAAAATGCACATCACATTGTTCTTAATTTGGTGGCTTCTTTGTTATAAAACAATTGTGGGGACAATCGATCCCATTTCTCTGGGTAATCATTGTAACTTACCATTTGTCTGCTTCACACGGCCACTGTTTCTCTTGCACTCAACACCACTCTCCTGCATGTCCTGTTGTTTTTTCTGATTAAGGAGACAGAATTGAGTAATCGAAGTTTAGTTTGTGTAGCTCAGAGGTGCCAATCATGGCAAATAATGAATTAGGGCATCCCTACCCCCACCCCCTTTCTCTGAAGCATTGAACTGAAACCAACAAATTCATCTTATGGAGGACCACAGGCTGAACTCAGCACTGCCTGTGACAGGAGAAGACTTTCTTCACTAATTAAGTCACCCAGGCTCAGAGGAGGCCTCTCCAGCATAGTGGGGAGCCACATCTGAGACCATCCAGAAACTCTGCCTTTGATCTTATGCTTGCTAAGGGAGTTGGTGTAAAACTTTCTTACAAATATGTAAGCCAGGGAAAAAAATGCATTTGTCTATACATTGTAGGTCTATATATCATATTGTTTTGCAAATTTCTTTAACTTTCCAATAGCCTATTTGTCTTAGTAAATCTTAGTTCAGAGTTCACCATTTCTGGGTTAAGGACTGCTTTCAAAAAAAAAAAAAAAAGAATAAAACAAATCAAAAAGAACTGCTTTCTATTAGTTTTGAAAAGGACCCATATAAAATGCATTTTATCGGGTTTCATTTATAAGAACATATACTATCTACTTTTATGTCTGATGTTTGTAAGAAATAGCCATAGATTAGAAATAGTAACGGCTAGTACTCTATTGGGGAAAAATCATGGTTTTGTTTTCATTAATAACCTTTGAATCTTACTATGCACACAGGAGGTTTTACACATGAGGAATTTTGAATGAATTTTTAAAAAGTAAAAGTGAAATTACAAGTGAATAAAATGAATGAAATGGTACTAATTCATTTTTAAGGGCTATTACATTGTTATACTTAATAAAGCAGGTTTACTAGTTTCTTCCTCTCTTTGGTAGGGCACAAATTTAACCTACCCACTCTTAATTGAGATTTGGCATTTTTAATGCCTCATCACTAATCATCAGTGTTTCCCTGGGAGGGGCCCGAAGCCCCCTCTTATCTCCACTGAGCAGAGGGGCGTGGCACCCAGGATGGAGGGGTATCTTATCTGGACCCTCCCAGAAGAAACTGAGAAGAGCCCCATGTTGAAAAACCCTTGGCCTTTTCTATTCTCTGGCCTTGCCGACAATTCTCCCCAGCACAGCATCGCAAAACAGGAGACTTTTTTTTTTGGTAGTTTATTTAAAAGAAATGGGTTTAGGCTTTAGGTAAAGAAGTAGATTATAAAGATCGGCTCTTAAAAGGGCAACTTAAAACTAGTAGAAATTTTGTTAGGAGAGTAGAAAGTTAGCAAAATATATGAGAAAGCTGTCTGACACTTGGAGCAAGTTCACTGTCCATTTCTCAGGGAATATTTCCTGCTTGACTTGAAGATTACGTAGGTAACATGAAAGGAAATTCATTTAATCTGATATTTTACCTTGGGCTGGTAGTCATCAGGACTAAAAAATAAACAAATTCAATCAAGAACATACATTTTAGCTACAGAAAGCTGGTTTTCAATTCCACCTGGACTCCCAGAATGTTCCACAGGGTCTGTCCTCTTTCAGGCCTATGTCAAATGCCAGTTTGACATTACATTGCTTCATTCGTTTTTTTGGATATCATCATCACCCAAAGTACTACATTTTTCTGTCCTTTCCTAACCTCCATTTAAGTCCCTTGTCTGCTGTGTTCATTGCTGTTTTTTCCTGCAGGTTTTCAATCCTTGTTCAATGAATTAACGCCTTTGAGACCTTTCTGTTCCCAGGTGTTTGGGGGGAGAAGCAGGAAGGCAGAACGGAGAGAAATGCAGGAGGCACTTGTCAGGTGCGTGCTTGGTACTGGTGGCCAGGCGGCCGTCCCGCCCAGGTGCGCAGATGCACTCTGCCAGACCTCATCCCCTCCAAAAACCGCATCTGCCAGCCAGGTCTTCACTGATTTTTTTTTTTTTTAAGATTTATTTATTTATGCATACAAGAACGGGGGTAGGCCAGAGGTGCGGGCCGTGAGAGGACTCACCAGAGCCAGAGCAGGGAGCAGAACAGGCAGACTGACTGAAATACACTGCTGAGGGGAGCAGCGGGCGAGACAGGAGAGGTCTGCCGCGCCATGTGGGTAGCTCCCTGGCCAGGGCTCAAACTCGTGCTGCGGTGGCTGTGGTTACCCTCATAGGTTGCGTCTCAACCCCTTGAGCCACCAGGGAGGCCCCTCTTCATTCATTCTTATGTAAGCAGAATAACGTTTGCTTTCTGGCCCCACCTGTCAAACTCTGTTCCAGAAAGATGCCACAGAGCGACTGAACAATTCTGTCGGAGTGTCCAATATAAAATAATTCCTTTTCCTCTTCTGGAAACAAGAGCAACAAAACAGGGTGGGCACAGCTGCGCTGTAACTGGGCAAGCAGCCTGCAGAGCTGAGCCTAGAGGGGCCCCTAACTACAGAAACGGGAAGGTCTGGAGAGTCCTGCCGAGCGGTGGCTGCAGTTCCTGCGCTGGCCAGGTCGGTGGAGGCCACAATCAGGGCCCTCTCCCTGCGCGATCAGAAGTGGAATGCCCAGGGCACCAGGCCAGGGGTGGGGTGGGGTGGACCGGGGCGAGCGGAGGGGCTACCCCGGCCGGCGGCGGGGGGCGGGCCGCGGCGGGGGGCGGGCCGGGGAGGGGGGCGGGCCCCAGAGGCCCCGCCCGAGCCCGCCCGGCCGGGCAGCGAATGGGCGCGCGCGCCGCGAGGGCGCAGGGGCGGCCGCTGGAGATAGGCTGGCCGGGGTGGGGGCGCCCCGGGGCTGGGCGCTGGCGGGGCCCAGGTCTCGGCGCTGCGCGGGAGGAAGACCCAGCTCCGGGCCGAGGCCGGCCGGGGGTGCTCCGCGTCCGCACAGCCATGGCTGCAGCCCTGCGCCCTGCGGCCGCCTGGCTCCGCGATCGGCGTAAGTGGGGGCCTCGCGCGCGCCCCGAGCCCCAACTCCCGGGGCAGGCGGGGGCGCTGGGCAGCTCGCGCCCCGGCCCGCCGGCCCGGGGGACCCCAAAGGTGGCGGGGGGCCGCGCGGCGCCGCGCGGGGGGCGTCCGGGAGGAGGGACCGGAAGGGGACCCGCTCGTGGGAGGAGCGAGGGGAGGGGCCGGGGTCACCCGCGTACCCCGCGGGGAGGCGGCCGGGCGCCCCTCGGCCCGCCGGGTGGCCGAGAGCCTGGCCGGGTCTGGCCGAGGCGCAGTCGTCCTTTGTAAAATCCGGGGTGACAGTCGCGGGGCGCTGCGGAGGCGCGGAGGGAGGGTGTGTTGGGAGCCGGCCCAGGCCGGCAGCGGGGGCGCATCACCCCCTCCGCGCCCGGGGCGCAGGACCCAGGTCCACCCGGGCGCGTGCTGTCCGGGGTACGTGGAGCCCAGGCCCCCCCGGACAGCCCACACCTCTCTGCTGCAGGCCCGCGTGGAGGTCGTGCTCAGGGTGGGTTGGTGGGAGGCTCGTCGGGCGCAGCGCGGGACCCTGACTGTGCCACTTCCTTCCTGTCACCCCTCGAGGGAGGCGCCCCGGCGGGCTGAGCTTTGGGAAAGGCAGGAGTAAGGTCCTGGCCCAGGGGCTTGCCACGAAGACGAGAGGAAATGGGTGAAACCACAGTGCCTGGCAGTGGTGGAGACGGGGGAACCCTCGAAATGTTCAGTTATTATGTGAAAGGTTGCCCAGTACCAAGATGGTTAAGGAAAGCATTTGAACAGCAACTGCGCACAGACCTGACTGACTTTTCTAAGAAGTTCCCTTGTTCTTCAGTCTTGCTGGCGCCCAGTGAGAGGGAGTGAAGAGAATCCACAGCTCACCTCCTTATTTTATTGCAGATGCCTTTGTTGGGAAAGTGATAAAGAGCCAGGGTAAGGTAAGGACCAGGTCACCCAGGGTGCAGTGAGACAAAGGCTTTATCTTTTACCAAGAGCCAGTGCGATGGGGCTGAAAGACGTGTCCAACTTGAGCCTTTCTGTGGCAAGCCAAGTCTGACACTTTAAATTTGAAGTCATGGTATAATGTAAAAAACTTTAAATTATTTGTTGTGGAGGTGATAAGTAACTCGGTAGGATTCAGACACCATAACAAATATGGTGGATGTACAGCCCAGTTGTGCTGGAGATTCTGATTTAAGCTTGTAGCTATAATACTTTATCATTGTTGATATAAAGGCCTTAACACCTGGGTTGGAAAAAATTGACTATTATTGCAGAAAATAAATTTTTAAAGAAAAAGTGGAAAAGCGATGTTTTACACTAAAATTTTTAGCGTATTGCAGAATTAATAAGATTCCAGGTGGGCCATAGGATATATCTGGGCAGTGCTCGCTATTGAGTATGCTTACCTGTTGCTTAGCCACATACAGTGTGCCTGGCACTGTTTTGGGAACTGATCATGTAATTTAAAAAAAAACAAAACTGCCTTATCTTCACAACAGCCCTGCAAAACTGGTCTTATCTCCATTTTACAGATGAGAAAAGCAAGGCGAGGATAGCTCAGCAAGTTGCTCTAACACAGCTGCTCAGCTCATTGGTTCTAGGTGGGCCTTCTGTTCTATTCTCTGTGACTGCAGAGGCTGAACCATCTGCGTCACCCATGCTGCTGCACTTTCAGATTTCTCTGCCATCTGAATAAAGTCAGGAGTCTCAGTTACTTTAAACTCCTTCATCTAGATGAACAGTAAGACACTTCATTTCTCTAGAACCTTCAGGTGATTAGGGAGAAGGTGTTTTAGAGCATCTGTGAGAGGTAGATGTATTAACTCTGAGTCCTGAGCAGAAAGGATCCAGTCTTAGCACCATCGTCCTTCCATAAGAATTTGCTCAACCACAAAGAAGATAATTTTCTAGGTTTAAGGCATGGCAGTAGTTTGGCAGCCCCCAAAGCTACCAGTTCCCATAGTGTGTGAGGAAATACTAGTGCACTAGTTAGTACTAGTTAAGAAGACACTGGCTGTAATCTGTATCCCCCACCCCCCTTTTTAAGGTGCACAGGAAGAATTCTTATTTCCCGTAGTCAAACCAAGGAGTTTTGTGCTCACAACACATGGAATCTGAGATAATCTCATTTTTTTAAAGATTTATTTATTTTTATACAAGAGCTGGGATACAGGCCCAAGGCGCAGGAGGGTGAGAGGATTCACCAGAGACAGAGCGGGGAGCAGAACAGCAGACGGACAGAAATACACTGCTGAGGGGAGCAGCGGGCGAGACAGGAGAGGTCTGCCACCATGTGGGTATCTCCGCGGCCAGCCACGAGTCGAACCTGTGCTGCAAAGGCTGCGGACAGCTTCACAGCGCTGCACTCAACCCGCTGCACCACTGGGGAGGCCCGATAATCTCATTTGTTTAAGTAACTGCAGACATTCCAGCTTGATTGAGAACCTGATTGAATCTTACCATGCAGTTCAGAATTGCCCTTGTGTACAATGAGGAGCTGTGAGTTGATCAGAGACTGCATTTGAGCTGAATGTCTTTGCACTTCCCCACTTAGAGTGATCAGGACTATTGAGCCCAAGCACCCATGTTGCCTATGAATGTGCACGTCTGGACAGCTGGGAGCCACAGTGGCCTGGAGATGCCATCTCCTGTGTTTCATAGGCAAGCTAGGTGATACAAACAGAATCACAGCAAGCGTAGTCCCTGTGCTCTGGCCGCTCACCAGGGAAACGTGTGCCAGCAGCGATTGTGTGTGACCGACACTGTGTAGCCCTCACACGGGTCCCCATAGGAAGAGGCCATCACTTCACAGCTGGGGAGACGAAGGCTCCGCCCCAATCACCTTATTAAAAAGTAGCAGAGGGCCTCCCTGGTGGTGCAGCGGTTGAGCGCTGGGTTGCGAAGCTGCCCGCGGCCTCTGCAGTGCCGGTTCGATCCCCGGCTGCTCCCCGGCCACCGGAGGAGGGTCCCACATGGCGCGCAGACCTCTCCTGCCGCCCGCTGCTCCCCTCAGCAGTGTACTTCGGTCCTTCTGCCTGCTCTGTTCCCCACTCTGGCTCTGGTGAATTCTCTCACCCTCCCTCACTTCTGACTGTACCCAGTGCTTGTATAAATAAATAAATGAATAGATAAATCTTTAAAAAAAATAAAATAAAAATGCATATCTCACTGATAACTTAAAAAAAAATGTAGCAGAGCTGGAGTCAGAGGCAGATCCGGGCCACAGCCAAGAGCCTCCCCAGGTACCCTTTGACTCTAGTAGGAAGAGGGTAAAGAAGGAGACTGACTTCCAGCTGGTTTCGAATCCAGCTGGTTTGAGTAGAGGTCCCCAGCATGGGGTAGAACACGGTGCCCCTCATTGTCATCCTCAGTCTCTACTCTGATTTCAGTTTCATTTCATCGTCTGTTATTTTAAGGACAAATGTGCTTCATGTTGCACTGACTGTGGCCCATGGGCTCCTAGTTCAGCTTGTCGCGTGGGCCGCCGCTAACTTGTGGGGCGCGGGTCAGTGCACTGCACAGCACATTTGGGGGAACAAGTTAACTGTGAAATGCCCTGTTCTCCCACACTGGCCAGCAGGCCTTTGTGGCCACCTGGAGGGGCGCGCTCTAGCTCTCCAGAGTTCCTGCAGAAGTGCAGAGGCCTGGGCAGCTGCATGGCCGCAAGCTGCCTGCCTCTCCTCTCACCACCAGCTCTGCCCGGCATTGTGCCCCTGCGTATGCACGCGCAGATGATCCACTGTGTATGGTCACGCTCCTGTCTCACCCCTGTCAACAAACCTGGTCGCTACCCTGCAGCTCGGAGGATGGGTCCAGGAGGAGGCCTGTGCAGGCCCTGGAGATGGTGTGGGGCTTTGGGTTCGGGAATCCTGGGGTAATGGGAGCCCATCTGGAGTGTGACACATGGACTCTGGGCTGGGGGTCCCTGAATCCTTGGGTTTCCAGACGCACATCCTGTAGAGCAGAGCAGCAGGAAGAGGGCCAAGGTGGACCCACCCTCTAAAGCAGAATCCCCCTTATCAGGGCCCAAGGGCGACACTGCGATTCTTGGCTCTGGTGCTTTACTGGAGAAGGCAGCGAGCAGAGGGGCGGTGGGTGCAGCCACCAGAATGTGAGTGATCGCCTTGTCTGCAGGCTCCTCAGAGCAGCCTGCTGCCGCCAGTAACTTGCACAGGCCTCGGTGATTCACATGAGGAGAGAGGGATTGAGGTTTCTAAGAGGCTCCGGGCAGGTCCTGAGAAGCCGCCTGGGGAATGCCACCACCCTGTTGGAGAGGCTGCCTGGCCTTCCCCCAGCGCCCGCGGACAAACACTGGGGAGATGCTCTGCCGCAGCGCCTCTAAACTTTAGACCCAGGCATCATGCTCTGAGCACCTCTTCAAAAGAAATGGCTTCGCATCTAGACTTCATGCAACTTCTGTGCTTCTGCCACAGTGGTGCAGGGCAGCCAAAGGACCCGCCAGCCATGGAGGTGCCAGTCGGGTGCAGCTACAGCCGCCGCGGCAGCAACAGCCCAACGAGTCAGAAGCCCGAAGCCTCAAGTTCAACCTGGGAAGAGGTAGGAGTCTAGTCCTAGGTACTAGGACTAGGACTAGGATTTCTCTTTATTGATGCAAACCAGGTGGGGAGGGAAGGCGCCGGGAAAACAATATCTAAGAAGCACTATATTATTTTCGTGGCTTCCTTTCAACAGCTATTCAACTACAGATTTTATTCCCGTAAGGTATAAAAAAATGTTGTTTTGAATTTTCACAGAATGAAAAATTCTTTACTTAATTTTTCCCCCCAGCTTCCTGGAGACGTGATTGACATAAATCCCCCAGGGCTTTTGTTAAAGGACTCGTAGTTGAGTACTAATAGTCTGCAAATCATGTAGGAATTTAGTTCTGGAATATGTCACATAGCACAAATCACATGTATGCTGGAAATGTATTTATGAACCTAACATAATTATACTTATGAAATGTTATGTCCTGTACAGGATAAAGAATAACTAATCTACGCAGAATTTCTACAGTAAACTCTACCTTTGTTTTTCATCTATTACCATGAACGTAATTAGAAATGACAGAATATGGTTTCTAATTTATTAAAGAGATAAAGTACATCTCTCAGGCCTCACCTCTTCTGTTGGCGGTGAATGTCAGCAGGGGCGTCCTGTTCAATAAGTGAAGCCACAGCGGTCCCCAGCTCTCCCTTTTGTATCCAGGTGATGGGACACCTTTCACAGGGCAGCCATTTAGCTGAGCGCATGAGTCATTTAGAAACAGCACACTCTGTTCTGCATGAGAGAAAGTAGCTGTGAGCGATTTAACTCCTTGACTATTCTGCCAGGTCAGATGTCCTAGCAGAAATAAAGAGTAAATAGCAGAATTAAGAATAGATTGTTCTTTTTTTTTTTTTTTTAAGATTTATTTATTTATGCATACAAGAACTGGAGTATAGGCCAGATGTGCAGGGGATGAGAGGATTCACCAGAGACAGAGTGGGGAGCAGAACTGGCAGACTGACTGAAATACACTGCTGAGGGGAGCAGCAGGCAAGACAGGAGAGGTCTGCTGCACCATGTGGGAATCTCCCTGGCCAGCCGGGGATTGAACTCGTGCTGCAGTGGCTGCCAATAGCTTCATAGTGTTGCGCTTAACCCACTGTGCCACCAGGGAGGCCTAGAATAGATTGTTCTTGTGTTATTTTTCATGGTGGGATTGTGGGTACAGACTGAGGTTTGCTGCAGATAGAGCCTTAGGGGTAGGACTCCAAGTCACCTTTCAATTCTCTGTCCTCCTTGAAGATGCAGTGTGTGGGGACGTGGGGAGCTGAGACACTGTCTTTGTTCTCATGGTTTCCCCAAAGGACGGTGTTTTCCTGGACACCCTAGCCCCTCTTCTCTCCTTGACTGTAGCACAAAATCCTTCAGTAGTTAGGATTGGAGTAAATATTTGGTGTAAACTGAAGAGCTGATGTTGATATAGAACCATGAATTGTTTCATTATCCTAGTGGCAAGATTCAGCATTACAATAACCTTAATATTAAGTGGCTAGAACTAAATAAACATTTAAAAAAATATGTAAGTTCTAAGAAGTACCCTTATATCAATTTTATATAAAAGAAATGGGTTCAATCACCATTGATCTCACCATCCAGTGTTTTGTCTCTATACCTTTATCTATTAATATTCACTCAGTGTTTATTAAAATGTGACAATCCTACTCATATTATTCAGATAACTCCCTCTTTTTATTTAGTAACAGTTAACGATATGACTATATTCTACTGTATTTTAGTTGCTTAAGGGTATGTTATTAAGTCAGTATTTATCCAGTCCATACTAGAGCACTCACAGATCATTTCTAGTTTTGAGATATTAGAAAAGATAAAGTGATGTGTGTCTTGGAGAATCTTTCTGGTGCTAGACACTGTGAAGGCGTCTGCTGGGTGCATCCTCTTGACGGGACTGGAAGATGCTAAACCACACTCTTCCAGACCAGGGGTCTGGAAAGTTGTCTGTAAAGGACTCGAGAGTGTATTTTTTTTGGCTTTGTGGGTCATTTAGACTCTTGCTTCTATTAAAAATCTTCTGTTGTGAGATGAGAGCAGTCGTAGATAATATGCAAACAGACAAGCAGAGCTGTGCTCCAATAAAACTTTATTTATAAAAACAGGCAGTGGGGGCAGGTTGCAGATTTGACACATGGACTGAACTTTACCAAATCCTGATCTACAGATGGCAAAGATCCTCAGGCTAGTTTTCTCAAGTAGGTTTAAAGAAGAGCTAGGATTTTCTTCTTTATCTTGATGCTGGCTATATACAATAGGTCAGATCCTGTTTATTAATTGATGAGTTTAAGTTTCTGTTCTATTCGATTAATAGTTCAGAATGCAAAAATGGGGAAATGTTGAAACCTTTTCAGATGAGAAGTCTCCACTGTGTTCTGCTCTATACACCTTTCTGTGCAAACAAAGGGGATTTGATCATTCAGACCTTGGTCTCAGATGTGCCCTGTCTGGAGGGGAGAAGAGATAGAGACCCTTGACTGAAGCTTTGCACGAGCAGAGGGGTGTCTGCCGAGAGCTTCCTAATGCGCCATTCGTCATGCATGACACAGTTTTGTATTAAGTTCATGCGTATTTAGATATTTTCAAATCGTGTGCATCTCTTTCATGTATGAGATCAACATGGTTTACAAAACATGGGCTTGCAAGGCAGGATGACATCCCATTTAAAGCCACTCTTGTTCTGAGCTCAGGTGTTGCAGATGAGAAACAGTTCTAAATCCCCTTTGCACGCTGATACCCTCTGTGCCTTAGGTAAGTCTCTTCGCCTGGGGCTCAACCCCTAATCTGTTAACTGGCAGCAATCCATGGAAAAATGCTCTTAATTTATTTTGAGTCACAGATTTTGCAAGTGAAAGACAGGATCCCAGGAGAACGCTGTGGTCTAAGTAGAAACATTAAGGGAACATTACCGTTTCACAATATAATGAAGCTGGAATTGCCAGGTATCAGGAAAACTAACCAGTGTGTGGATTTGTCGATATGACTTCTGGTCAGAGGAGGTGGAAAAGTCACATAGAACAATGGCACCTTCGGAGTAGCAGCTTTGGTTAGTACAAAGGATATTATACCTCCTCCCACTCACCCAGTGGTTTTCAACAGGTGCTTGGGGGGCATTTTGGTCGCTAGGACATACTTAGCAATAAACAGAAACATTTTCAGTGGTCACAGCTGGGGTGGGATGTGTGTTATTGTCACCCAGTAAGTAGAGGCCAGGGATGTTCCAAGTGTCTATAGTGCCCAGGAAAATCCTCTACAGCGAGGATTTCCTGCACCAAGTGTCAGCAGTGCTAAAGCTAAGAAACCCTGGTCTGAAGGAGAAGGAGTATACAGTGACCTAAGTTTATTGCTTTTTTTTTTTTTAAGATTTATTTATTTTATGAATACAAGAGCTGGGGAACAAGCCAGAGGTATGGGGGTGAGAGGATTCAACAGAGAAAGAGTGGGGAACAGAACAGGCAGACTGACTGAAATACACTGCTGAGGGGAGCAGTGGGCAATTCAGGAGAGGTCTGCTGTGCCTTGTGGGTTGCTCCTTGGTCGTCTGGGGGATTGAACTCATGCTGCAGAGGCTGTGGACAGCTTCATAGGTTGCATCTTAACCCCTTGCGCCTCCAGGGAGGCCCCTAAGTTCATTGTTTCTGTTTTTGTTTTTTTTTTTTAAAGATTTACTTATTTATTTATACAAGCACTGGGTACAGTCAGAAGCGCGGGAGGGTGAGAGAATTCACCAGAGTCAGAGCGGAGAGCAGAACAGGCAGAAGGACCGAAATACACTGCTGAGGGGAGCAGCGGGCGGCAGGAGAGGTCTGTGTGCCATGTGGGACGCTCACCCGGCAGCTGGGGATCGAACCGGCACTGCAGAGGCTGCGGGCAGCTTTGCAACCCAGTACTCAACCGCTGCGCCACCAGGGAGGCCCTAAGTTCATTGTTATAATGAGATCTAAGAAAATCCCTGCCCTTATTGTAATGTGATATTTGCCTTTCCCTGGGAGTTAGTTCTTATTTGGAAAATTTTGGTTGAGACTTCAGATTTCTACTTCAGTTTTCCTATAGTGTTTGAGCAAAGAAATGGCTTCTAACATGGGCATGGGCACACTCTAATCCCTCGTGTTGCTAAATGTTAGCAGTTATTTAAAAATTGCAGATAAAGTGTCATTCTATCATCGGCTTTACAGATCAGTGAGAAGGATCTTCCATCAAGAGCCACCTCGGCAGGGTTGGCTTAGTTCCTGTGATGGGTAGAGGTGGTCTTGATGCAGGAAACTTGGAAGGGGGACCTTCAGCCTTTGCAGTAATGGTTAAGAGAAGTATTGATTCGGGCCACCCCCTGGATGAATCTGAAGCATTTCATGCTGAGAACAAGAAGCCAGACACAAAGACCACAAGTTATGTGATTCTGTTTCTGTGACATGCCTAAATAGGCAAATCCATAGACCCTGGGAGTGGATTTGTGGTTGCTGGGGGTCAGGGCTGGAAGAATGGGGTGTTTCCAGACAGGGAGCCCAGCAAACAGGAGCATGCCCACATAGCAGGGAAAAGGCCTGTAGGATTTTACTTTTGAACTGATTAGAGTTTGCTAGCCAAACCAGGATTCTACCCTAGAGCAAAAAGAAAAATGCTACTCAAACATTGCACTTTCTTTTACCTAGGAAGCCAAAAACAGGAATATTAATGCTGAACATGGGCGGCCCTGAGACGGTGGGGGACGTGCACGACTTCCTCCTGAGGCTCTTCCTGGACCGGGACCTCATGACGCTGCCTTTTCAGAAGTGAGCCGCGTGGAAACACCTTCCCTTTCTTGTTCCCAATGCATTGATGTTGCCTTGCATGTGTCTCAGTCCTGGGGTTAAAAATAATAAAAGACCTTAATGCATATGCCGCAGCCATTAGGCAGCATGGTTATCTCCCGAGAGGTGTGGGAAGGGCATGGTGTCAGCAGCATGGCGAGAGGAAGCAAGAGCAAGGTAGTGGCCGTTCTCCTGGGGCCCTTTCCTCCGCAGAGCCTGGAAGCCCTGGTCGTCCTGACCCTGCTGAAGTCCTTTAAAGGTCTTTAGAGATGTCTGTCCCGGTGCTTGACTGCCTGGTGCCCAGGCAGGCGGGATCATTCCCCATCTGGCCTGTGTGCACCAGATGTGCCTCCTCTTCCTTTCATCCTCTCCTTCCGCCCCTCTTCGTTTCTCTGCCTTTTCTTTAATTTGGATTTTTTTTTTTTTTTTTTTTTTTTGTGGGACCTTCGCCGGTGGCCGGGGATTGAACTGGCGCTGCAGAGGCTGCGGGCAGCCTCGCAACCCAGTGCTCAACCACTGTGCCACCAGGGGAGGCCCTAACGTGGATTTTTTAATGGAAATTTTGTATGTACATATGATAAAAATGCAAATAGCATAAAAGTATTTCCAGTGAAAAACATGTATGCCCTCACCGTGGATTCCAGCCTCTTTGCCCACCGCAGAAGTAAGCGCTGTTCCCGCCAAAGTCCATGCATAGCCACGCGCAACTGCATCGATCTTAGGCATGTTCCTGAACAGATGATGTAGATCTGGTTCACTTTTTTTATGATGTTCCAGAATTGCATTGGGTGGTTGTACCTTCATTTATTTAACCAGTGCCCTCCCGATGGACGTTCAGGTTGTTTCTAGTGTTGTGGCGACCGTGCTGGTGCATGCGTCTTTGCTCACCCTGAAGTACACCTGTAGGATTAATGTGTGTTGTTTTAAATGAAAAGTTTAAATGTTTGGCCCTAACGATTTATCTGTCCCGGTTCCTCGAGGCGCAGGACTAAGGTAGTGATGAGTGTGCTTAGCCAGCATCTCTGCAGGCTTGCCTGGGGTCTGACTCTTCATGGTTTGCTGCCAGGACAGCTTGCAGGCAGAGCGATCATCTAGTTTTCTCTCCCTAACCTAGACCCAAAGAACCGGCAGTCGTCAGTGATTGCTGCTCCATTTTTAAAGGCCTCGTCTTGTTAGGTTTTTCTTAAAATTTTGTTTATCTTCTTTATTGAGTAGAAAATGTTGCTCAAATTGCTAAGGTGGAATAAAACCCACTTACCTACATGTTAAATGATTTAGCAAGCTGGCACCACTCATCGCCAAACGCCGAACCCCCAAAATTCAAGAGCTGTACAACAGGATTGGAGGCGGATCCCCAATCAAGATGTGGACCTCCAAGCAAGGAGAAGGCATGGTGAAGCTGCTGGATGACTTGTCACCTGAGACAGGTACGGTGTTCCTTAATGAACGTCTCACCTGGTCTGCCCCAAGGCAGTAATGACATCTAGACAGGACTGGCTGTCAGATGCAGAGTGACGTATGCCGTGTCCCTCGTGGTCACTTAACAAGGGTCTCAAGGCATGATTCTTTGTCCTTGGCTGTATGTTATTGCTTCCTCATGTGACCAGTAAAAAAGCTGAAGATTTGGAACATGAATTTCAAAAGGAATTTTGAAGTGTGTCAGGTTGAACTAGATCATAAGGCAGAGGCCACATACCAAGAATAGAAGATTTGTCTCTCTGCACTGGAAAGGGATTTTTGGGGGACCGACTGACGCTGCTGCTCTTGCCTTTTTCTGTGTGGAGCACTAATCACACCCATACTTGGAGCAGAGTCAGCTGTCACTGTGACTGTTGAGGCTGAGCAGCTTTTGGCCCTGCTTTCAGCCCCTGCAGATCTGCCAGCATTTTAGGGCCTCTTGGCATGTGGGACCAAAAGGGGATTGTACACTTGAGGTGACCATCCTTGGAGAGCCTCTAACACAGGGCGATAATGTCCAGAATGAGACTCTAACTACGTGAATCCACTAGAAGGGCCATTTTTACTGGCATCCAGGACTCCACAGATGGCAGGACACCCCCTTGTTTTTAACACCAAGACACAGGAGGCTCTGCTGGTTAATTTTAAAAGCATCCCATGTAGGTGTGGACCAACGCGAGAAACGTTAAAACTGAAAAACAAAAGTGCTGTTTAGGACACCCGAGATGCAGGAATTGCAGCTGCACCCTAGGGGTTCAGGAGCAGGACAGGAGCATGACACATGGGGACCTCCAGGGGAACAGTTATGCTGCCCTTTCTCCTCTGAGAAAACACGGCTGCCGGTGCAGGCTGCTGCGGGCCTCAGCCCTGGCCAGTCACCTCCTGGAAGACTGTTGAGTGGCTTCTGAATATGATCTACTCCCTGCCTTCACCTGTGGTCAAGGGCATTTCTTACATGGTGCGCCCACATTGGCACTGTGCACCTTTTAAGGGTGGGTGAGGGGCGCTCTGCTCTCCTCTGTTTACCCCTACTTGGGGGTCCTCCTTGGTAGCACAAGGGTTAAGCACCGCACTGCGAAGCAATCTGCAGCCTCTGCAGCATGAGTTCAATCCCCTGCCAGCCAGGGAGCAACCCACATGGCAGAGCAGACCTCTCCTGTCTCACCCGCTGCTCCCCTCAGCAGCGTATTTCAGCAGATCCGCCTGTTCTGCTCCCCACTTTGTCTCTGGTGAATCCTCTCACCCTCTCAAACCTTTGGCTTACACCCCAGTTCTTGTATGCATAAATAAATAAGTCTTTAGGAAAAAAAAGAAAGTAAAAGCATGGCGCTATAGATCTCACACCTTTCTTCCTAAGAGCCTTGTACAAATCAGACATTTTGAACGACTGCACATTATAAATGAATGGGTTAGATTTAATGAAGTTTTCTTGTTTAGAAATCTAGTTCCTTTGTCCCTTTTTTCCCTTTTACTAGCTCTCCCTATTGTTCACTGGCAGTTACTTGAGGGCCAACTACACTGGGCTACCGAGTCGTGATTGGGATTCGCACAGGCCCAGGTGGGGTGCTGGGTGACACCCAGGGCACGCCTTCCTGCCGTGTGAAGCCCAACCTGAAGCAAGGCAGGGAACCTTCAGGAACACTATTACTGCGTAGCATGGGCCCCGTTGGAGAACCATTGTCACTTCTTGTAAAGTATGTTTTTGCAGGCAATCTCCATTTGGACAGTTCAGCAAGCTTTATCTGTCCTTTGCAGAATATTTGACTCTCTCACTTCAAAATGCGGTCACCACCCTGTCTTTATCTGCCCAGGCAGCCTCTCTTAGTCTGCGGTATTTGGGGAACGCCCAGCCCCCAAGCATGTAGGCTGCCACCTTCAATACTGGGCAGGTGCGAAGGGACTGTGAGTGCCGGCTGACCTGTGGAGTTGGGAGATCTTACCATTTGGGTCCAATCATTGTATTGTCTCAAAATAGATTAGAAAGCAAATTCCGCTTCAGCCTCGGCTCAGACCACTGGGAGCTCTTTCAAAACGGCCTTGATGACATTGGGAGAGCTGGCAGTTTTAGCAAGAACCACACAATCCTTGAACCATCAGTCATGTGGAGTTCGCTTATAGGGTCGCGCCCTCTGGTGGGTTTTAATGCAGTTCTCCATATTTTATGCAAGAGGACCTAAAATGGGTGGCTTCCAAAGGGCAGGTAGCAAAGATGATTTCATTTTCCTCTTTCCTTCCTCTTTCTTGCAGTTCCCAGCCAGGGGATATCGAATTCTGCCCCCTGCACACAGAGTCTTCATGTTATCCCTTCCTTCACTGTAACCTAGATGTTTCTGGTGGGAAGTTAGTGTCACATTCTTACAGGCAGTCTCTGCTGATGCTTGATGGCGGCAGCATCTTGGTGTGATTATTACTTGGTGTTCACGAGGGTGATGTCAGAGTCACCACTGCCAGGGTGATGTGAAAAGACAAGGAGACAAGACTGGGAGACTGGAGGAAGCTTCCAGTTTTATGATCCTATAAATGCTTAAGAAATTGTTTGGTTGTGGATACTTTTAAAATATAAGAAAAGAAGAGGCAGGAGGACAAAGGAGGAGGAGGTGGAAGAGGGGACTGGCGAAGTGAGGGGGAAAGAGACACAAAGATGTGCAGCTGGTCAGAGCCTTTGAGGTTCTGAGGACAAATATTTCAAGTCCCACTAGGTGCCTCCAGCGTAACTTGGCTCTGGTGTTTTCCACATGTTAAATGAAGAGAATCATTTCAATCATTTGTTCTCAATGAACTATGATTAAGTGTTCAGAGCTTTTATATAAACTAGGTGACCTGGGGTCTGAGGGGACAGGAGGAGGGACTCTGGGGTGGAAACAGGTTGGGGGCCCAGGCTTTGGGGTGGGAAGGTCCTGACGAAAATTTCAGTTTGAGGCTCGGTGAGGGGTGACTTTGGGTAGGTTATTAACCTTTGAGAGTCTGTTTTCTTATCTAAAAAATGGCTTTAAAATCAGGTGGGGGAAGCAAAAAGCAAGTTTCTACTATGGTATCAGCTCTATAGGAGGAGGTTACACGTTCAGAATAAGTGTTATGTTCTTTCCTCCTTTCTCTGGGCTCTCTTATCTCAGCCAAGAGCAGAGAATAAGGCACAGAAGCTTGAATTTTAAAAACCATTGTGCTAGGGGGCCTCCCTGGTGGCGCAGCGGTTGAGCACTGGGCTGCGAAGCTGCCCACAGCCTCTGCAGTGCCAGTTTGATCCCTGGCCACTAGTGAGGGTCCCACATGGTGCTCAGACCTCTCCTGCCGCCCGCTGCTCCCCTCAGCAGTGTGTTCCGTCACTCTGCCTGCTCTGCTCCCCGCTCTGGCTCTGATGAATTCTCTCACTCTCCCATGCTTCTGACTGTACCCAGTGCTTGTATAAATAAATAAATTAATAAATAAATAAATTAAAAAAAAAACCAAACAAACAAATCATTGTGCTAAATAACGGTGTGTGTGTTTAAGGGGGGAGGTTGGTCCCAGAAAATAGTGATTAAAACTCCCCGTACTAGCTGGGGACTGGGTACCTCGCAAGGAATATTCATTTCCGCCATCACAGGAAATCAGGTCCCCTGCTCTTTGTTCTGGGCTTTGCCTGATGTGCGGCCTCCCAGGAATCTATGTAAAGATTAACACTTTCTCCTTTCAACTCCTGCTTCCCAACAGCCCCTCACAAATACTACATTGGGTTCCGGTACGTCCATCCGTTAACAGAAGAAGCAATTGAAGAGATGGAGGGAGACGGGCTGGACAGGGCCATTGCTTTTACGCAGTATCCACAGTACAGCTGCTCCACCACAGGTGAGGGCGCCCCGAGACTGTGGGGGGGACCCACCTGGGTGCGGACGGAGAGGGTCAGTCATCTGTGATTTGCATGCCACATCGGCCTGTCTGCTTTAAACACGAGCGTCCACTTCAAATCTCACGGTTCATCTGTCTCTTGAATTATTGCCTAGTCAGCTGAGAATTAAAGGTGGGGGTTGGGGGGTGGGGGCTGCTGGTGTTCAGTGCTTGACTGCGTGGTGTAAGGGGTCAGAAAGGAACCTTCAGCCATTTTGGACGATTGTGCAATGAACCTTATTTTTATGGCTAGCCTGATATTCTTATTAATGTGTCTAAAGTGATGGCTGTTTGCATTTTGAAAGCAGAGGTCCCCACGTTACATGGACAGTCTGGTGTGTTTTTCATTGTGCTTTAGATGTCGGGTTGGTTATTGGTTTAACTAAAGCCCAGTTTCAGGTTCTTTTTGAAAACCTCTCGGTGTTTTAGGTGTTAGAAAACGATTACTGCATGCTATATATTTAACTGGAGGTGAAGAATCCTCTGTATTTGCCAGTCTCTGTATTGTTAATTGTAGGAAAGCTTCTAGTGTCACCCACCGGTGAATTTGTTTGCATTCTGTTTCCAGGATTGGGGTAAACACATTTTTTTACTCCCCAGATACTTTTGGAGATTAGTGCTTATCATTTCTATAACTTATCATTCCTATAACGGAGAAACAAGAGGAAGAAATATTCCAAATCTGTTGTGACCTTAGATGTTTATTCAGAGCAGCTTCAAACACCCTCAAGTGTTTAAATGGTGATCACTTTTGGGGATGTGCCCCCTCAGCTTCAGGATGTCTGGTGACATGCCATTGGAGGTGAAGCAGATTTTATCAATTTCTAAACAGTACTTGCCTTGATTAAAAAAGATAAACCTCAACATGTAAATTTCTGCTCTCAGAATAAAACACGTGAAGATGGCTGTTTCCAGGAGGACTGGCAAGGGGTTCATTTCACAGCTGGCTCCACAGTGTTTAAACTGCCCCCTGGTGCACAGCATGTGTAGTCCCACTGTGTGTGAGACCAAAAAGCCTGTTGAGGCACATCTGTCCTTGGAGACCACAACTTGTTGTTGTCAACACAGTGTATCTTCTAGATGTGCGTTGTCGTTTGGCAGAGCTGACATATTCTAAGTACCCACCGCAAGCATTGTTGAGTTACCTTTTCCCCACGATGCCTTCTTCTGATCATTCACTGCATGTTTCTGAGTGACCCAGAAGAACAGATGTGGCTTCCAGAAGTCCTTCTGTAACAGCACCTGTGAAGTGTGGCGTGCGGCATGGATGTGGATGACGACTTGGTGATTTCTGGAGGGATCGATTTTGAGTCTGGCACAGATTCAATTTGGATTCATCTGACTCATTATGTTTTACTCATGGAACTCATATTTTAAAAAAGTCTTAGCCTGAGAACACATTTGATTTCAATATGACTTTGTCCTGACTAGCATTTTAATTTGGAAAGCTAACCGATTAATAGTTGTCAATGAGAAACCAGTGGGTTGGTGTAGGGAACATGGAGTAGTTGTGGAATGTTTGCCCTATGTTAATGTAAACTGGAAAATATTCATCTGGTGATATGAAGCAAAATACCCCAGGATACAAAATTGCATATATACTAAAATTATACCTTTGTCAAACAGAGACCACTATAAAGAAAAATAATTGGAGAGAACTCTGCTTGAATAAAAGACCCCACATTTTCTGTACATTTCCTGTAATGGGGTTATCTTCATAATGGAAAAAAATGTTAACCTGCTTTCATTTGTAAGGCATGGTTCTTGCACATAACACTGCTTGGATTTCATAAATCCACCTCCATCCTGTTTCTCACTAGAAATGACCTCAATACTCTGAAAGGCCTTTGAAATTGATTGCTTTTTAGTGATCTTCATTTGCAGAGTAGTTAAATCTATATGCATATAAGAGTATTGAAATGATTGTAATTAGATTGCTCCACTATAGAAGCAGATATCTGCTTGGAGCTGATAGTTACTGCCTTTGCTAGTCTGTGTTTTATTTTGACCACGATCAGCAGGCATGTACTAAGTGGCCCCCTGTATATTTCAGGCAGCAGCTTAAATGCCATTTACAGATACTATAACGAAATGGGAAAGAAGCCCACGATGAAGTGGAGCATAATTGACAGGTGGCCCACACACCCCCTCCTCATTCAGGTAAGCGGTCACCCCAGCTTCTGGGGGTGGGTAGGTCATATTTTTGTCCTTGCCTGGGGGCAAGTGTCTTATGAACCTCACTGTTCTCTGGAGTGAATTATGTGTACTGGGGGGAAAAAAAAACATTTGAGTCTTGATCTATTAGGACAAGAGGTAATGAACATAAAGATAAGAGGTTATACTCCTTTCTTCAGATTAATACTGGTCACAAACCAGAGATATTTTGAGTTCTGTGTTTCACAATCACCAGGATGTTAGAGGATTATGCAAAGCGTTTCAGCCAACTTTCATTCATAGGCTGAACGAACTACAGATATATCCTCTAATACTAAATCCTTGGAAATGTCAAAAGATTTTTAAAAATTTAAAGGTAATGTATCTACAGGTTCTGAAACATGAAAATAAATGTAACATATCAATTGAGAAAAGTTTCATGTTACATTTCAGATTTCTTTCATATAGTTTGTATTTTCATATTTATAGTAACAAATGCTTGATTTTAGAGGGAGCAGTTAAAATTACAGTCCTAAAGCCAATAGCTTTGAATTGGTTTTATTCTGCATTTTTTTTTGCCCTTCCCTTGAGAGTGCTATTGGTAATCACCCTAAATCACACAAATATAGTTTTGCTCAGGGGGTGGAAGTTTCTGCCTTTATGCTAGTATAGGTAGAATAAACAGAAAGTGGTTTAGATTTCATCCAGTTTTTGTTTCACCCTTTGGACATTTGGTAAAATACCTGCTTAATGACTTTTTTTAAAAGCCTTCAGTCACTTAAAATCTATAACCACTAGATGGTGCTAGACATCATTAAAAGCAGCCTGCTCTCCTGGACTGAGCGCCTTAGGCCCTTAGGTGATGTCAAGGGGTTAACACTTAGGCTGGAATTCACTTTTAAGTGCAAATGGACAGAAGGCACCTTCCCTCTGGGAGGGGTGTAGTTTTGGGGGCCCCTCCTCCCTGCCCCCTGCTCTGCTGCTGGGTCTTCAGTGCCTTCTCAAACACCAGAGCTGACTTTCTGCTCCGAGGTTGGAGCAGAGGAGGGTGTTGCAGTCGCCCTGACATGTGGCAGCGGAGAAGCGGGGTCTGCACAGCATCTGCCTGCCCCGGTCCAGGGAGTAATTAGATTTGCATTAAAATTCAGCCCTTTGAAAGGGGGAAGCGGAAAGATGGAAAGGTCTCTTAACTGAGGGAGTGTCTGTTCATGAAATGAAAGGGAATTTTAGAGGCATTTATCTGCCTCCTGGATGGTGTGACTGAAGGGCTGTGAGAGCCGCCTGCTGCTTTGGTTCTGCAGAGGGATTGCACCTCGAAAATCCCGCAGGTGGATTTTGGGTGATTTAAGTAGCTCTTCCACTGGCCCACCGCTCCTCAGATTTGAAAATGGTTTTGGAGTCTGTAGTAAGCCATATAAATTGTGTTTCACCTGCAGTTTTATAAGATGAGAAGGGCTAAAAGTTATTGGAAGCAAAAGTTTATTGGTAGATTTTATTCTTAATATTGTGGATTTCAGGGGATTTGATATCTGGCAGAAATTAAAAAGCCAAGCTAAAACTTAAGATATTGTTGAGAGCTAAAAATACTGGTTTTAATCTACATTCCTACTTATTCTAGGCAGTGGCTACTTATGATCGTTAATTCGCAGTATTTTCTCCAACAGTGATTTTTTTCTAGCTGTTGGAATAATTGTGTGTGTATGTGCCAGGCACCCCTGTAAACTCTGCAGTGGGTCTGCTCGCCTAGACTCTGGTCCAGAAACAGTTCTTTCTGAGCATCCTGTTTGCAGAAATCTCCATGAAACAGGGCCTTTATTTGTATGTCATCCTGTTACATTGATGCTGAAGGTGAATCAGACATGTTGAAAAGGAAGTTACTGTGTAGACACCACTCTGTGCCTCAGAGCATTTATTTACCAATAAATGCAATTTCTCAATTGCACTTATTAAGGAATAATTTGCTCTACCTATAGTATTTACCATGGATATATCAAAATACCAGAAAACATACCTGGTAAATGTCCTTTATAAAAGGGTATTTTTTTTTTTTAAAAAAAAAAAAACCTTGTTTGGAAATAATTTCAAATCTGCAGACAAGTTACAAGACTAAGACTAGTTTAAGGAACTCTACTCTTTATCTTGATTCATAAATTATTTATACCACTTGCTTTATCGTTTGCATTCTTTTGTGTGTACACACAACTGTTTTTGAACCATTTGAGAATATAGACAGACAGACGCAGACATCATGAAATGTCAGGGATATTCTCTTACATAACCATGATACAATATTCACGGTAAGCAAATTTGACATTGATGCTTAAATTGATCTAACCTATGTTCATATTCCAATTTCATCAGTTAATCCATTAATGTCCTTTGTAGCATTTGCTTTATAGCTCAACTGACAAAGAATGATTAAGGTGTAAGATGAAAGAAAGCCTCCTCAGGCCTGGTATTTCAGCACCTATTGATGGGAATCGGAAGGTGTCCACTAGACAAAGGGAATTACTGGTCTGGTGAACAGAGATCTGGAGCAGGAGGCCGGACCAGCCTCCTAGCCCAGGTTTCACAGATGTGACTGAACAGGCCCCCAAGTCTGCTGCATATTTGCCCCCCTGTGAATTTCCTAAAGAGGATTACACACCTCTCATCTGTTGTCACAAAGGTTGCCTCGGTGAGGATACTGGACTCGAAAGGAAAAGTTGGTAAAAATAGAAGAGCATTTTCTTATTCCTCTACTATTTCTGGCTAATGTGATCTGACCTGAAAGCCAAGCTAAGGGAGATTTAGAAAGATCCTGTAAGCGGTTTTCCTGCTAACCGAGCAAATGAGCGGCCTTAAAACAACTTCTCCTTCCCATCTGTGTTTCCTTTCCATCTGGAAGTGTGCCCTGTGCCTCCCGAGGGGGAGCAGATCCAGAGCGTTCATTTTCAGTGAGCCATTAGCAAGCTTCAGAAGTTTCCCATCAAATTCCCTAGGCCCCTGAGACCGTTAGGAGCCATCTTGATGAGGAACCGAAGCGAGAGGAGACTGTACTGTTTGCAATTTTTAAAAAAAGAGAGTTCTGGTGCTTGAGGGTTGCTCTGAGACTTTCGTCATACTTCTCGTTTCAAAAATATCTTCCTTTCTCTTTCTTGCCACGGCCGCCTCGTCCTCCGCGGCATTCCCACAGTGCTTTGCAGACAACATTCAGAAGGAACTGGACCATTTTCCACTTGAGAAGAGAAGCGACGTGGTCATTCTCTTCTCTGCTCACTCGCTGCCGATGTCTGTAAGTAAGGACCCTCGCCGACACGGCTCCCCCCACATCCCGCTGAGACTGGTGTGAGCACGAATTCTAGTCCGGGGGTAATTTAACTCGACTCAGTCTGGAAACCTCCATCACACTTAATTCAAATTACGGTATTGGGAATAGATGTCTGATTCAACCCCTTAAGATGATCACTTGAAGATGGGTTCCCACCTAAGGCTTCTGAGGTCAAAGATGACCACATCTGGGTCTCTGCTGAAGGAGCTGGGTCTGCGTGTTGAATTGGAGGCCTCTGTGCAAACCACTGCTCTTCATCCCATTGTTTTGTGATCTGACCTGAAAAGCCAAACTAAGGCCTGGCTTTCTTCCCACCGACAGAGGCTGTGTGAATTCCAGGGAGTGCGCTAACTTTTTATATCAGTTTATATTATATCAAGCTTTTGGGACAAGTTTTAATGAGCTAAGACAAGACGCCATATTTTGGTCAGTGAGTCGAAAGGGTGTCAGCCCTGGTCTGGTTGCCCCTCATGCCAGGCCGTGGTGATGAACAGACCTTACCTGTGTCGTACCTGCCAGGTGTCGGAGACCAGGTGCTCAAGCTCATGTGCTGTGGGCTTGGAGAGAGCGGCCCGTGCCATGGTTCAGAACCGCAGCGCGTCTGCTCCCAGAGCTGGGGGGTGGAGAATCCCATTTCCTTAGTTGTTTCCACTTCAGGGCTAATGGAGTTAACCTGAGGGAGGGGCCCCTGCTAATTGGCCTTTACTGCCACCTGGTGGTCTCCAGGTCGCGCCCTCCGTGCCTCTCCCGCTCCTGCCCCAGCTGAGCAGTAGGTGGCTCCGGAGCTGCGCTTCTCTCCCTGGGAGCTGCCTGTTCTCTTTGCACAGGTTCGGCCTCTCTTTCTGGCATCATGCAGATCCTCCTCACACGTCTGCGCTGCTCGTCCACCCTTACATTCTCAGTAACAATCCTAGATGTGGGGACACCACGTCTGACTGCCAGGAGGGAGGCTCTTGAACCCAGGAGGGAGGCAACACATTTTGTCCTTGAATGATTCCAGGGGCTGCCCTCCTCTTGCCTTGGCCTCACTTTCATTCCCTCCCTCAGGGACTCAGCGTGCTGCCTCCAGTTGTCTTGGGCTTGTTTTTGCTGCCCGAGGGTCCAGTGTAGGACGGAGGCGTGCCCTGACAGCAAGGGGGGGCCTGAGGAAGATGGTGGGCTTGTCAAGGAGGATACTTCTAGAAGGTTCTTCTTTCCTCTACGTTTGCTCTGATGACTCTTTCTCCTTAATGAATTTTTTAAGAACATTATTTTGAGGTCAGTTTAGACTGACAGGAAAGATGCCAGACCAGTACAGAGAGTTTCCACCCACCCTTTCCCGGCTTCCCCCGATGGATCTCTGCCGGCACCAGAGCACAGCGGAAGACCCCAGTGGGGTGTGGGGCTGTCAGCTGCAGACCAGGCTTTCTTCCACTCTACTTCTTGCACCATTGCCCCTTCTCTGTAATGGGGTCCAGCCCAGGACCTTGCATTGCACTGACGGCTCTTCAGTCTCCTCTAGTCTGACAATTCTTCACACTTTCCTTATTTTTCATGACCTAGATATTTTTTGACCTAAATATTTTGCCAGTTACTGGGTTGCAGGCTCCACCTTTTGGGTTTGTCCCGACCTGCCTTCAGGGCGGCTCTTGGGCATTTGCGAGGCACCACCACTGCTGGTGCTGAGGTGCTTGGGCTAAGTGGGGTCTGAGACTTGTCCACTGTTGAGTTACTCTTTTCTTCTTTGTCATTAAAAATAACTTGGAGAAGATACTTTGGGACTACGCAGATGTCTGTTCCTCAGACGGTTGCCCACACATTTAAGTCCCTCGGTGGATTTTGCCTGTGGCAATATTTCTGTGCTATTCTAATGATGACATTCGCTCTCTCTCTCTCTCTCTCATTCCTTCTACATTTATGCTTCTAGTGACTTTTTAGCAACTCACAGTAATATGATAAAATAGTTAGTCCATATTTCATTTCAGCAGTATTTCTCGAGCACCTTCTGTGTGCCAGGTGCTGCTCTCTGCACGATGATAGGATATGGGGGTGAATAACACAGTCATCTTTGCTCGCAGAGATCAGGGGGATGCAGATAATAATCATAATACATAAGAAGATAACATGGTATTAATAAGTATGATGTGGAGAAAGCAGGTAAGGGGTGAGGGACTCAGTACACGACTAAATATTAAAACAGAAAAGAAATTTCTATGCAACATTTCAAAGAACATGCTGCTCTGTCAGGACTGTTTTTCAGACAGTCGTGCACAAAACATTCATCTCCAGCCCATGGCGGTGGGAGGAGGGGAGAGAAGAAACTAGAAGGCATAGGCTTGTGGGGCCTGGACTCAGAGCCCACGTGCTGCTGCCTCCCTTGCATCCCAGCGCTGGAATAAGATGTGGGTAACGGATGTCATGGTTCTCCACACTGTCCACGCAGCATGCTCCAGTCACCTGCCCGGGTCTGCCAAGGTAGAAGTCGGGCGTGTTGACTCTTCCGGGCCAGCTTTTCTGCGTTGGCTCCAACTTTCAGAGGGGAGGGGGTTGAAGAGACCCATCCTGCATCTCTGGGCTCTGTGAGTCCCCCACAAGTGACACAGGGCAGGGAATGTGACACTGTCTTAGGGACTAAGAGGGGGTTGAGCACAGCGCTCCCCTGGGACCGCTGAAGAAGTGGAGCCGAGGAAGTTGGGTGATTGAGCTGAGATTGTACATCATCGGTGCAGAAGATAGAAAGGGTGTCCAGTCCGGGCATGGGTCTCGTCACCACCATCCCGGGCTCTCAGGACCCGTCACGGTGGTGCTGACTGAGCTGCACTTGTTTCTGCTGCAGGTGGTCAACAGAGGGGACCCCTATCCTCAGGAGGTGGGCGCCACAGTGCAGAGAGTCATGGATAAGCTGGGCTTCTCCAACCCCTACCGGCTGGTCTGGCAGTCCAAGGTACGTGGCTTCCACACACCTGCTTGCATCCAGCTCTCTCCAGGAGGCCTGTTTTAGGACTTCATTCTAAAAATGGTTAGATATGGTTCTTTCACACAAACTATTCTATAATCTGGGTGCTCATCGTGGGTGGGAAGAACACGGGCAAGCAGGATGGAAGGGGAAATCCAGTACCTGGTTGAGATCCTCTAATTTCATATATCTTTAATTTTAATGACAGATATTATTATTTATATTCTCCCAGCTTCTAGAAAGACTCAAGCTTTGAGGTAGAAATACCAAGATCGATTAAAGCCGGTGGCAAGGGAGGTCCTCTCTCCTGCAGGGAGGGGTGCGTGGGCGCCCAGGGCACTGGGCTGCGTGTGACGTGGGCCAGGCCAGAGAAGTGGGACCCGCTCTGCAGCCCTCCTCTTCTCTCATAGGTCGGTCCAATGCCTTGGCTGGGCCCTCAAACAGAAGAGACCATCCGAGGGCTTTGTGAGAGGGGGAGGAAGAATATCCTTTTGGTTCCAATTGCATTTACCAGCGATCACATTGAAACGCTGTATGAACTGGACATCGAGTGCTCGCAAGTCCTAGCCAACGAGGTAAACGCCCCTTTTCTGGCTTTTTAGTGATTTAGTGTCATTTGCTATAAATGGGAACTTTCTCTGTGGTGAGCCAGCTATATCATTCAAAAATACTGCTCAGCACATATATTCAAAAACATTAACCAGTATAGATGTCTGCATGAACGGTGTCCTCATTGCTTTGAATCATATTTAATCTAAGTAATGCTCTGAGCACCTCAACTTAATTCCTTGTCCCCAGTGGGGAAGCACGTTCATGCCTTTGTTAAACCAGGTGGCCCAGAGACCACTGTGGGCAACACTGTTATTTTAGCTTTAGTCACCGTGTGCTGCTTGAAAGTAATAAAGACTGCATTTCCTTAAGAAAAATTAATTAAGAGCAGCATGTTCTGTACCCCAAAATTAATTATTTGATCATCTAATCCTTTTCTGTGCCTTTACTTGGGGTTATTTTTTAATATTAATTTTTAAATTTTTTTACATCATTGTTCATTTTTAAATACTTGGGGTTATTGTACTGCTTTTCGTTGGGTTTCGAGGCACAAAGAAGTTGTCATTCAAAGAAGCGCGTGGAATGAACAGGAAAGCAGGGGGTGCTGTGATTTCCTCAACTTCTTCAGGGCACTCTTTTAATTAGCTGTTTGCCGAAGTGTTGTGATCAATCGGATTATGGAGAAAATGCCGTCCTCAGTGTCTCATAATATAAGATGGATGTGAGTTATCATTCAGAGTTGAGAAAAACTACTGTTCACCCATCTCCTGGCTTCTGAGGGCTGGCCTGAAACTTAGTCCGAGTCCCAGCTGTGTCTCTGGGAATGGTGGAGGCAGAAGGACCCAGGCCCCATCTGCTGCCAGAGCTCCTGGGCCTGGTGCCCCACACATGATTGATGGAGGCCTGGTCTCCTCAGACACTTTGCCCTCTTGGGTGGGTGGCAGGTGCAGGGCGGGGTGAAGAGTGGGTGGGGGTGAACTTCAGCCAGCACCCATCCCCACAGGTTTCCTGTGTACAGGCCAGGCATCCATCAAACATCAGTGAAGTTCGAGAGTGCCTAAAGTACTTGTCAGTAGTTCTGATAAAGAATTTATGGAAAGTTGTAATTGGCTGAAATGAGGTTCTAGGGGTGTCTATGAATTTCATCTTAATGACACCTGCTGGATCCCTCCGTGACCTTGGCTAATTGTGAGCTTGTTAAATTGAACAGACTGAACCGCCAAGATGTTTCATATTGGTATTTGGTATGCTCTGTATCTGGAAAGCAAGTTTTGTTTTGAATGGTATTCACATTCATATTATTAAACCAAGGTCACACCTTTGTAATCACGTGGATTAAGATCAGTGAGTGATAAATCAGTCCATAGAGAGAGTAAAGAAAACCGTGTAGCTGCGATTCATTTCACTCGTTGATGGAAGAATACGATGTGTTTGAAACAACTGAATTTCATTAAAAAAATGGTCTTTTTTCCCAAAAAAGAAATAACTTCATTAATAATGAAGGACTTTGACACCTCAGAGAAATATAACAGAGAGTGGAAATCACTCAGAATCTTCTCCTTCAGAGATAAATTAATATTTTGTTAAAAATAAGTCCCTCTAAATGTGTACTCTTGTGAAATGGTGTTTTGCCCACTAAAAAATGATATTAATCTGTTTTGTAACTTTTTTCTTAAAAATGTATTAAGTATCCAGGGGCCTCCCTGGTGGCGCAGCGGTTGAGCGCTGGGTTGCGAAGCTGCCCGCGGCCTCTGCGGCGCCGGTTCGATCCCCGGCTGCTCCCCGGCCACCAGAGGAGGGTCCCACATGGCGCGCAGACCTCTCCTGCCGCCCGCTGCTCCTCTCAGCAGTGTACTTCGGTCCTTCTGCCTGCTCTGCTCCCGCTCTGGCTCTGGTGAATTCTCTCACCCTCCCGCGCTTCTGACTGTACCCAGTGCATGTATAAACAAACAAACAAATAAATAAATAAATAAAACATGCCTCTATTAAAAAATAAAAATAAAAAAAATGTATTAAGTATCCAAATCAATAAAGATACCTAATTATTTTTAACAAGTTCTTGGTTAATGTACATTTAAAGTGTTTCTAGTTTTTCTAGTCATAAACTGCTCATGATAAACATCACTTTATTTTTTCAATTATATTTTCTTAAAATAAATTCCCAGCAGTGGAATTTAAAAGTAGATGCATGTTTTGGGCCTCCCCTGGTGGCGCAGCGGTTGAGCTGCCCGCAGCCTCTGCAGCACCCGTTCGATTCCCGGTCGCCAGGCGAGGGTCCCACATGGCATGCAGACCTCTCCTGCCGCCCGCTGCTCCCCTCAGCAGTGTATCATCAGTCTGCCTGTTCTGTTCCCCCTCCCTGGCTCTGGTGAATTCTCTCACCCTCCTGCACTTCTGACTGTACCCAGTGCTTGTATAAATAAATAAATAAATATTTAAAAAAAAAAAAAAAGAAATGGAGAAAAGTAAAAAAAAAAAAAAGTAGATGCATGTTTTACTGGCTTGCCCTGCAGAAACATGTCCTTCCAATCTCCCTCCAGCAGTGTTTGAGAATACTGCTTGTCACACTGGTTATCCTGGTTATTACTGACTTCTGCATGAAGTTCTAGAAGACAATCTCTTTTTTAAGTCCAGATCTGTGTACTTGCTGAGCCTCAGCATTTCCCTGTGCCAGTATCCCTGGTGTTGTTGCTCACTTAAAAGATAAAAGTAGCAGAAAGACCATCAGCATTGCAGAAAAGGAAGGAGAAGATCCTACCTACTTGAGTTAAGCACTAATTAGATGTTTCCCGACTATTTGGGGTGGGGGATAAGTGAGGAGAGGAAGACAGAGATGGTATTGAAACAATGCATAGATTTTGTTTTTAGGTTTTTCTATGTAAGAATATATTGAAAAGCCCAGCACAGAACTGACATTGGATTTAGTCTAGGTACTCCTGGTTCAATATACATAAAATAAAGTTACTTCTTTTGGCACCTGGAATTAAAACCAGTATTAAAAATTTACTTAGGGGCCTCCCTGGTGGTGCAAGGGGTTAAGACTCAACATATGAAAGTGTCAGCAACCACTGCAGCATGAGTTTGATACCCGCTAGGGAGCTACTCACATGGCACAGCAAACCACGCCTGCCTCTCCCACTACTCCCCTAGGCAGTGTATTTCGTTGGTCTGCCTGTTCTGCTCCCCACTCTGTCTCTGGTGAATCCTCTTGCCCCCTGTACCTCTGGTCTGTACCCCAGCTCTTGTATGCATAAATAGATAAATTAAAAAAAAAATAAAAATTTACTTACTTAAAGCAACATTCTGCTCAGGTGGAGCCAGTAAAAGTATGTATGATTAGTAAGGTCAAATTAAACAAAACAAAACTAAAATCAGTGGCAAGTAGATTGGAGTTTCTTGAGATTCTATCAACAAAACCTGAAAAATGGTTTGGAAACTGAGCCCCTATGGGAGGTAGTGGGGAGGGGAAAGGAATAGAAATTGAAGAGCAATTTCTGATAAAAGAGGCAGAAATCAGCCAACATTCCAGAACCCATGAAGTCTTTCATTTCTGAGCAGTCTGGGGGCACTCTGGAAGCCAGACTTTGAGTTGTGTTTGTGTATTTCTGTGCATGTGTGTATTTGTTTATTGGCAGTCAGTTTCTTTCTTTTTTTTTCTTTTAAATATTTATTTATTTTTATACAAGAGCTGGGCTATAGGCCAGAGGCGTGGGAGGGTGAAAGGATTCACCAGAGACAGAGCAGGGAGCAGAATAGGCAGACGACAGAAATACACTGCTGAGGGGAGCAGTGGGTGCAACAGGAGAGGTCTGCGGTGCCATGTGGGATTCTCGCCAGCCGGCAGGGATCGAACCCTCACTGCAGAGGCTGCGGACAACTTCACAGCGCAGCGCTCGACCCGCTGCGCTACTGGGGAGGCCCAACAGTCAGTTTCTTAAAAAAAAAAACACACACACACAAAAAAAAACCACACAAAAAAAAACCAGCAGGAAAATAAAATGTGTATGTGTTTTTTCTGCCTTTTCTCATTTGATTCAGTGCGGAGCTGAAAACATCAGAAGAGCAGAGTCTCTTAATGGAAATCCATTGTTCTCTAAGGTATCTGCGGGCCGCAACCACCTGGTAGAACATATCGGAGAGTAATCCTCTGAGAAGCTCTTACAGAATATTGGTTTTCTCACGTATTAGAACATTTTGAGTTCCAATTAATTACAAAAATAAAATCGAATTCCTTATACACTGACTCCTCTTGCTTTTAGATAGTCCCACTTATTTCTACCCACTTATAACCACGTCTCATTGAAAGCCTGCCTTTCAGAGACAAGGTCTAGCAGGTGGGCTAAGAGGATTTCATTGTCTAAAAATCTCTATTTTCACTTTTCTCTACACTGAGGATTCTCCAGGAAAGGGGGATGTTAGAGAATTTGGCTCACGGCTTCGTAATTCAGATGAAGAGAAACCCCAACCCTAGTGATTATCCGGGCAGGTGGGAGGGGGAGGTGTCTGGGGACACAGCAGACTTTTGGCTTCTAATGACCCTTTGCCTCTCGTCCCTCCAGGCCCTGGCCGACCTGGTGCATGCGCACATCCAGTCCAACGAGCTCTGCTCCAAGCAGCTGACGCTGAGCTGCCCGCTCTGTGTCAATCCTGTCTGCAGGGAGACCAAGTCCTTCTTCACCGCCCAGCATCTGTGACCCCGGCTGTGGAACCCGTGGGGTGCAGGCAAATGCCCAGCCTCCAGATGCCTCTGACATGGAGCAGGATGTATTTAGAGATCAAGGAGGGAAGTTACATTAATTTATGAACATCCTTTGGGTACAAATCGTGTGATTTCTTGAGGAATAGACACCCAAATCCTTATTGAGGGTTTTCTATTTTTGTATGCCTACACAGTAAGCATTTATAGTCCCTCTTTCTGGGTAAAGCTAGTAATTTGGAATGCCTACTAAGCTACTGAAAAAAAAGAACTTAAACAATTTATCTTATGAGACGCACACCTATTTTAAATAGAGATTTTGTTTTATTGTCTGAAATCCTTCCCACGAGGGATGGAGAGTCCCCTCCATGGGTTGTGTGAGTGAGGTTCATTTACAGCCTGTGTATATAGTTGTTTTTTTAAGTGAATGACGTTGAGTACATAAAATATCACTAACCTTTCCCTAAGCCGTGGGCTCGAGTGCCCGGAGGCCGAATGAGTGATATGGGCCCTTCTGTGTGGACCTCACTTTGCTCAGCATAAAGCCAAATCTAGTGCTGGTTCTGAAAATGCTTTGAGATCCCCCAGGCTCACAGCCTAATAAACGTGTCCTAGCTTTGGTCAGACCTGCCTTGGCGGGTGGGGGGGAAGCTGTGGTACCAAAAGAAAGTGGTCTCTGGCATCCTGTCCCTGGGACTCCAGTGAAACTTTCCATCTAGCACCTTCTTTGTCTGGGTTGAAGGTCTCCTTTCTGCATATTTGTTTGAAGAATTATTTTAGAAGACCAACGATGTTTCATCACCTTGAATTCTTTCTTAATTGACAATTTTTATTGCAAAATTTTCTAACCATGCTATAGGGGATTTGGAAAAGAGAGAAAAGTAACCGCCTGAATGCAACAACTATTACTCATATCATTGTATTTCGTGTCATTCTTTTCCTGTGGATATTTTTAATGCCATTGTAACCTTGAGTTTGTGAGTGAAAAGTTGTTCTAAAGATGTAAAATTAATGTAGGGTCAGAATCTGATCTTCTAGACTTGGATTTAAATGGATTAAAAAAAAAATCTCTGCTGGATCCATAATGAATATGTAATGATTACTTTCCCTTTCCTCCGAGCAATAAAACTTTGTTCTTCAAAGAGGGTTTCTTTGATTGTGTTTAAAAGCCAGATCATAGAGTGGAAGCTTTAGGGGTGTCATAGATCTTCTATATCCAGGATTTACTACATAATAAATATCATGAATCATTAAGGTTTTAATCAGTTTGATTCATGCAGTCTGTTAAGTCAAAACTAATCCAAATTAGTTCATAGTCAAAATTATTAGGAAGAATTTACTTTGTAATACAAGAAAAGAAATGTGCCAGCCCCTATACCTAACGGTCTTCCTACACTGATAATGACTCTGAGATTTAAGGAGCATCTATGTTTTTTTCTTTCAATTTGTTTTCTTATTAGTAGATTGTTGCCAGAGAAAGGAACAAGACACACATCTTGTTTAGAATTCCCATCTATCCATTTCTATCAGCTTTTGGGGAATCTGGTGAGGGTGGACCTTGCACCCTGAAATGTGCCTTCCTTCCCACTTAGTGGCATGACCCAGGGGGGTAGCCAGCACTCGCCTGCTCCTAACCCTTCTCCCTCCTTCGGGAACCTTACCTCAGGCCCACTGCCTTGGAGCTGAATACAGATTGTGATGGTGATCTTGCAGAAAACTCCAATTCAGGAGCTCTTGCTGGGAGGTATGAAGTTGCTAGGGAAACCTCCAAATCAACAAGTGACTGGGCTGTCTGGAGTAAAAATCTTGATTCTGAGTTGGGACCAGACCAGCCTTGGTAGTGAGATGCAAAGGGGGGTTTATTGGGGTCACTGACCATGGCATTTATTATTTTAAAAAGTGTTGCCTTTGACTTATCAACCAAAGATGGGTAAGGGTCAGACTGAGGGTGGTGGTTGATAGGATGAAATTAATGATTGCTCCTTTTAAAGCTTATAGTCTGTTATCCTGTTTGTCAACTTGGAAACACAAATGTTTGCCTGTTCATTAGCCATGAACTTCTGGCAGTGGCTTCAAGATGCACTTATGTGCAGCCCCAGGTTTAATTGATGAATCAACATATACAGAAAACTTTGTAGGAGTTGTGATGATAAGGCAGTTTAGCTTGCCAGGGTTATTATAAGGTCCAGGTCCCTGAAAATAAAGCACCGAATGGAGAAACTCTTCTAGGGAATATGCATTCTGAAACTACTTACCTTTTTAAAATTAAAAGAAGTTCTTGCACTTAAAGAAAATTTGCTTCATGTCAGGAGAAATGAAACTTGTTAAAAGCTTAAATGTAGATCAGTGACTTATTGGTGCCAACTAAAGTAAACATGGGGACTTTTCCTGATCAGACTTCAGATTACATGTCCTTGCTCTAACTGAGCCCGTGAGCTGAATAACATGTTTCCGTAGGATTCTGTTAAATTTTTCTTTATAGTGAATATGTAAGGTATGGAGAGAAAATGGAATTTTCTGCTCCAACTTGCTAAGACTAAGTGCCAGAAGGTACATTATAATCCTAGAGAAATATTAGGTCATTTATGTCTTCCGCTGGTCTTCAAAATAGATTTTTCTTTTTTTCTTGGTATCTTTTTTGGGGAAAATACACTGATTTGGTTGGACGAGTCTCTTAGAATAAAGTCATCATGTTTCCTTCCCCCTCAGCTAATATGTTCTTAAAAATTAAACCCTAATCTAAGGTAAGTAAGAGAGACCTTGGCTCAATGTGTTTACCCCCATATGGTGATACACCACGAGTGGGTGCTCCCACTCCGTGTGGGTGAGTGGGGGGGCGCGGATTGGATTGAACTTGCCTGTTGTAGCAAGGCCTGCACCCTCCCAGAGTGTAGGTAATACATAGTCTGCAGCCTAGGAACTCTGCTGTGCTTTGCACTTCCATATGGGGCCTGGGCAGGGTGGGGATAATGGCCAACTTGGGTAGCTATAGCTGGAGGGCAGACATGAAAGCTGGCAGCCATGTGTGTGCTGGGCAGAGGCTAGGCACGTGCAGGAGCCTCTGAGCCCATCTTTAGTTCCATGTCTCTAAACTCAGCCTTGTCTGAAAACCCCCTGCTGTCAGAACACTGAAGTGAAAATAGGAAACTTGTTGAGATGTCCTTAACTGAAAAAGAATATTCAAAGTGGACACTGAAATCAGAGTCCCTAAGTGAAAACCATTCTTTTAAAAAATTATTTATATATATATTTACATCATTCTTCATTTTTATACTTATGCTCAGTGAAATAAGCCAGCAAACCATTCTTAAAGAAAGTTTCCTCAGTCTTGACAGCAACATAGGGAATTGCCAGAGGAAGACAAAAATGAATCATTTGAGTATTTCTAAAAATTATTAAATTAAAAATACTTAATCAAGGCCATGCCCCAGAAAGTCTTTGTAAATATCATTCCTAGTTTTACTCTATTTGCTTAAAAATTAAGATTCCTTTGTAGCAGGCCCCTTAAGTAACTCATCCCTGTCCACTCAAATTTCATTTATAGAAACTAACATCATAGGTTTGAGGGCACAGACCTCAAATGGATAAAATTACCGGATGGCTCAAGAAACCTGAAATCTGCCTGAATCACTGCCAGTTAACTTCGCTAATCAGGTCATAATTCTGTTGAGGTGTCTTGTGTTGACCTAGCTTTCCCGGTTAATTCAAACAGTGGCACCTGAAAACTTGATTTCTTGTTTGCTAAATTTCTTCCAGCTGGAAGAAACTGTTTATCATGGGGTGCTTTTGTGCTTCCATTTGGGGGCTGTCCAGGGCTGGGATAAATGGTCAACTTGGGTAGCTATAGCTGGAGGGTTATTATGTGACCTTTAGAAGTTGTGCTTCTGGGCCTCCCTGGCGGTGCAGGGGTTAGTCTCAGCACTATCAAGCTATCATCAGACACTGACTGTGATATGAGTTTGATCCCCAGCCAGGGAGCTGACCCACATGGCGCAGCAGAACTCTCCTGTCTCGCCCACTGCTCCCCTCAGCAGTGTATTTCAGTAGATCTGCTTGTCTGCTCCCCACCTGTCTCTGGTGAATCCTCTCACCTCCTGCATCTCTGACCTACACTCCAGTTCTTGTATGCATAAATAAATAAAATTAAATCTTTGAAAAATAATTGTACTTCTTTGCAAAATGCACTTATTTTGGTAAGTATGAAGTATACTGTGCTAATATGACAGCGACCTTAGTGGTATTAACAGTGGAAACTCAAGCAAAAAAAGTCGACGGCGCCAATAATGTGTTAACACAGAACAGCAGCAAGGGGCTAATCAATGGGGTGGGGCACTCTTTAATGGGACCACCCTCCCTGCAGGGGCTGAATCTTGGAGCAGCTCTGGGAAGTGGTACCTTCCAGGGAACATGCTCATAACCATCTAAGGTTCCAGGGGAATAAGAAATGCTTTTGGCATGAGAATCCTATGCAGCTTTCTGTGGGGTAAAGGAAGTGGGAGACAAAAGCACCCCATGATAATCAGTTTCTTACTAGACTTTGGTAGTAGCGGCCTAGTTGTTTTTAGCTGAAATCATTAGCTTCCATTTTTAGTATAACAACTACTGGCTAAATAAGTCTACGGTAAGCCATTAAGATGATGTTGGAATTAAAAACATTTTTGGAAAAAAGCCTGGTTTGATCCTTTGTCATACGACCTTGGGCAGGAACCGGTCCCATTTCTGATGATTTCTGAATGTGCCTGGGCGGTCGGGAGGGCACCCACAGCCTCTTTCCAGGCCTCCCGACAGGTGCAACTCTCACTGTCCCGACATGCTAAGAAAAAGATTTTATAATATTTTGTATCTTTACCTCTCCCTTATTTAAAAACAAATCTACATTTGTTTTTATATATTTGACAGAAGACCTTTCTGACGGTAAAGGTCTAAAGAGTGGGGCTTTGGTATTCAGAGACAAACCCCAGAAATCTGGCTGTAGCGTTGAGGCTGCCAGAGAGGAAGGTGGATGGGGTCCAGTGGCCTTTGGTGGAAGATGTGGTGTTGTAACCTATTTCTTTTTTTTTTTTCTTTTTTTTAAAGATTTATTTATTTACTCATACAAGAACTGGGGTATAGGCCAGAGGTGTAGGGGGTGAGAGGATTCACCAGAGACAGAGTGGGGAGCAGAACAGGCAGACTGACTGAAATACACTGCTGAGGGGAGCAGCAGGCGAGTCAGGAGAGGTCTGCTGCACCATGTGGGTTGCTCCCTGGCCAGCCGGGGATGGAACTCATGCTGCAGAGGCTGCGGACAGCTTCATAGTGCAGTGCTCAACCCCTTGCGCCACCAGGGAGACCCCTGTTGTAACCTATTTCTGAAGAGGTGTGCATCGATACCCCTGAATTACATACAATGTTGTAAATCATTGTTATCTCAGTAAAAATAATACCCCAAGAGGGGGTTTTCTTGTACTTACTGCTCTCAGACCTGAAGAATTGTCACTGGTTGAGGCCACACGCAGCCGTTGGGCTCATTCAGGGGACTAGACGCTTGTGCTCAGGAAGCTGGCAGTGGCTGTTCTTGTGTCTTGGGGTCCATTTCCACAAGTCCATTTGTCTGCTAGGTCCACCCTCATGATGTCAGTGACAAAAGAGATAGTGGTGTGAACCCAGCCCCACGGCCTTGCCAGGACAACCTCTTATGCAACATCCTCAGTCTGTTCTCTTGGTTCCAAGTTGTCCTGCAGCAAAGGGGTGGTCTTAATTCTGGGTCCTGCAGACAAGCAATTTATTTTATGTGTGTCTTTCTCAGGTCAAGTCCATGACAGAAAAGAAAAAACTGCATCAGACAGTAAATTCCAACCTCCTTCTAAGCCTCAGAACTAGACTAAAATAGAGATGATGCCTCCCTGGGCCACGTCACCCCTTCTGGATCCCTCAGCCCTGCCTGTGTCTCCTCTGATTCCCCTTTTCATCTTCAAGCTTCTGCGATACTTTCTGTCATTTCCGGTCCCATGTGACCCTTTGCTGCAACACGCTGACCCTCAGGAGCTGGGGCACCTTCAGGGTTTTGTGCCTGATTCCTCTGTACCTCCCATAGGTCCGGACCCAGCTGAGCCGTGATGGTGCCTGATAGGTAAGGGTGACCTGGCCTTACCTTCTGGAGA